TAAAAGGTTTTGTCAGGTCAGGTAGCCCCAGGGCTGGGGCTGACATGAGTTTTTCTTTTAACTCATGAAAAGCTCGTTGCTGTTGGTTGTAATAGATGTAGTTTATCTAATCTACATTTTTATTAACTGTCACCTACCAAAATACTGACTCAAATCCTGCAGCTATTTGATTTCAAGCTTTAAATTGATCTACTATTCCTCATGGGACTCCAGGACTCCAATTGCATAAATAGACATGAGAGTCGAAATACCCATAAGGGGCTTCTCTCACTTTACGATGTCTTATTTTTTTCTTCTGGTTGATGAAATGCCAAGGTGAAAGGGATAGCTAAATGGACTAACGTACAAGTGCCACTCCAGTTATTCAGCAGAGTGCCCAGTAAAGGTCCACCACAACACCACGACACATCCGCTCGGGAATGAACAAAGGCTGACTGATTGATAAGCTCTTGAAAATTCTTAAGCTCACTGCATCCTTTCAGGTCTCCAAGGAACACTAAGTTTCCTCCTTGTCATGAGAGACACAAAGTGAACTTAGTGTTGGGAGACGGAGGCTGGATGGCCCTCGGGGGCTGACCTGCAGGGTGCCGGACTTTAGGATATAGCAGAGAGAGCTTGGCATGACTTATTACTCCAGGCTGTAGAATTCTGGAAAAGAGTTACCATGCAGCCCACACCTGGTCGACTGGAGGACCATCTTAGTTTTTAAACTAAAGAAAGCCAAATATCATTTTACATTTAACAATGCTTCTTGTATGATTTTTATACCAGATAAGCTAAATTTCATCTTTATATTAGTGTGTTATTACTGTTAAACCTAATTTTAATAAAACCTTGTAGACATCTTTGTCTAATTTTTAATGTTTGACCATAAGGTAAGATTTTATAGACTCTTTTTAACCTTTTATAACTTTTGCTAAAAAGCAGGTTGGTGCTTTAAGAAAAACCTGTTATGCTTTTACTTTAATGTTCAGTTCACAGAAAAACTGGATGATACTTCTTTAACTTTAGCTAATATGTTTACACACAGAATTTTCTTTACAATTATCATTTTAAAACTTGCTTAAACCTTCAAAACAATAATTTTTTTAACTTTTTAATGTAGGTAAAAATGTACATTCTTATCCCTCCTTATAATCCTTTTACCAAAGGTATATTTTACTTTTCTTATACACCTGCACATAAACTAATTTTTTTCTCAATAGTTTTGCATTCAGGAGGCCTAGTTACTTTTAAATTATACAACATTTTTTGCATAACTTCTTTTTTATAATATTTTTCTCTTTCATGACTTTCGTAGACAATTCTTCGACATGCCTCAACTTTCTGACTTATTACAAATATTTCTTTCTTTAAACAACCAGTTAATTTATTTCAGGACAAGAATTTACTATATAATTATCTTTTTATATAAATTCCACCCCCACACACACACACCTTTCGCCCCCCCCTTAGGATACTTCTGAACTGGTGAGGTGTGCTCACAATGAGGTTTCCTGTAAAAGTTATTTTTTTACCTTTTTTTTTTCTTAACTACTTGTATACCTCTGTCTTTCTCTCTTTCCTTCTCTGTTTGACTTTGTCTCTCTCTCTTTGCCTTTCCTTTTGCCTCTGTCTCTTCCTCTCTCTCTCTGCCTCTTTCTCTCTCTCTCTCTCCTTGACTCCCTCTTTGTCTGTCTCTTCCTCTCTGTCTCTCCCTTTCTCTCTTTGCCTCTTTTCTTCTCTGTTGCTTTCCTTTTTCTCTCTCTGCTTGTCTTTCCTTGTCTCTACCAGCCACTTATGCTGCTGTTCTCTTAACCACTGTGTGTTGGGGGCAGGGGGTCTAAAACCAGCTGTAACCAAGTGTCTATGTATGGAAACTGGTCTGGGTTCCCTGGCTTACAGGTTACCTTGTGCCATACCTTTGTAAAAAGGGACCTGTCCAGGCTTCCCGCTAATGGCCAACCTACCTCTAATGCTGGCCAGTCTATCTTACGCAAGGTTTTAAGTTTTCCTAGTGTCATAGTACTCTATAGTCTCCTTTAAGTTCTTTTTTGAAAATTTTCAACATAGTTCCTAGTAGGGTGGGCTTATTTGTGCCTGACCTATGCTTCTTTGAGACAAAACGCCACGCTCACACCACACGCACACCACAACACAAAGAACGGGTAAAAAGGGCACACACACACTTCTGCAGTTTGCACCAAACCAAAATCAAAACCAAAATCAAAATCAAAGTATCCAGAAATCCAAGCCAGGTCAAAACCAAAACCAAAGTATCAAGCAATCCAAGTCAAGTCAAAAACAAAACCAAAGTGCCGGTACAGGCACACCATGGGTGATCAGGCCACACTTCCACTCAAATGGAGTAGGCAAGTTCCCAAGACCAGTCCTGTCAAGCAATTCAAACCAAGTCAAAACCAAAACCAAAGTGCCAATAAAGGCATGCCGTGGGTGATCAGGCCATGCTTCCACTCAAATGGAATGGGCAAGTTCCCAAGACCAGTCCTGTCAAGCAATTCAAACCAAGTCAAAACCAAAATCAAAACCAAAGTGCAAGCAATCTAACCAAGTCAAACCAAAATCAAAACCAAAGTGCTGATAGCGGCTGCCATGGGTGATCAGGCCATGCTTTCCACTGGAGGACAGAGTGGCAAGTTTAAAAGACTAGTCTTACTTAAGTTTTAGATGTCCAGACTCCAAGTGCCCATTCCTTCCTGGTGTTCAGCCACTGCGTTGATCCTCCACGGGGCCTGCTGCAACACTGCTCTGGCGAGGTATCCCACTGGGGCAAATGCCTACCCGAGCACTCTCAGGACCTGCATCGCTGGGGCTGGCTCGAAGTCCCCCAGCGATGTTCCATAGGCAGCTTAACTTGCCTAAGAAGCTGCCTCGACCATCCACCAATCACCTCGCTTCCTGGTCAGAGAACCAAGAAACGTAGCAGGACAAGCCACAGACAAAACTCCTCAGACACCAAGTTAAAAAAGAAAGGGGTTTATTCAGCTGGGGGCATCAGCAAGACTCCTGTCTCAAGAGCCAAGCTCCCTGAGGGAGCAATTCCTGTCTCTTTTAAGGGCTCGCAACTCTAAGGGGGTGCGCATGAGGGGGTCCTGATCGATTGAGCAAGCAGGGGGTTGACTGGGGGCTGCATGCACTGGTAATTAGATCAGAACAAAACAGGATAGGGATTTGCACAATGCTTTTCTGTACAATGTCTGTAATCTACAGATAACATAGCCGATTAGGTCAGGGGTCGATCTTTAACTACCAGGCAAAGGGTGTGGTGCTGGACTGTCTGCTTGTGATTTCATTTCTGCCTTTTAGTTTCTACTTTTTTTTTTTTTCTTTCGAGGCAGAAATTGGGCATAAGACAATATGAGGGGTGGTCTCCTCCCTTATTCACACTAAAGTCAGCAGCAGATGCAACAGGCTTTTCAGCCCCCTTGAGGTGAATGCGTTTTCCAAGTAGGACGAGGTCTCTGCACACCAGTTCTGGATCTGTGGACATGACACAAAGCATGATCACATAAAATTGATCTAAGTGGACTTGCTACACAAACTCTACTTCAACGCAGTAATGGCAGTGACCTGCTGGCTGTTAATCCTCACAGGTCTAGCCATGAAATCATCAAGTAGTCTTAAGGTCTTTGTGAATGTCCCAGAGCCATCAGATTGGATTAGTAGCTGACAGTGGCTCTTCCCTCTGATGCTGTCGAGTGCTCCAGTAAATTCAGAGACTTGTGTTAGCAGTCTTGATGGGCTCTGGACCATTAACGAATCTAATATACAGCCAAGGCCAGGTGTGGTGGCTCATGCCTGTAATCCCAACACTTTGGGAGGCCGAGGTCAAGGTGGGAGGATGGCTTGAGCCCAGAAGTACTGGGCAACACAGCAAGACTGCATCTCTACAAAAAATTAAAAATAAAAAATTAACCAGGTGGGTTGGTACACAGCTGTAGTCCTAGCTACTCAGGAGGTTGAGGTGGGAGGATCACCTGAGTCTAGGAGGAGTTCAAGGCTGCAGTGAACTATGATCAAACCATTATACTCCAGCCTGGGCGACAGAGTGAGATCCTGTCTCAAGAAACAATTCATATATATATATATGTGTGTGTGTGTGTGTGTGTGTGTGTGTGTGTGTGTGTATATAAAATTACCAATGTGGTCTACAAGCTTAAAACACTATTTAATTTGCCATAAAATGTTGATGTACAAAGAAAAAGAAGAAAACAGCAACAATAATAACAACACTAATAAAAGCTGACTGTGACCCAAAGCAAGTCTCTACTCTTTATGTATATTACTACATTTAATTCTCACAACAGCCCAGGGAGAGAGGTATAATTTCCATTAAACGGATGAGGAAACTAAGGCTGAAAGGTTTTGCCTAAATTTACCCAAAGCAACACAACTGGTAAGTGGTAAAACTGAGACTTTGAACCTAGACAGCTCTGCCAACTTTTAGCTACACATCCCTTATCTTTTCCTAAACTCCTTCCCGCATAAAGATGTTCCACAGCTGGTATTCTGAGTTAACTATGTGCAAAAGACCACATTACAGATGGTAAGAGAGGCTCCTTTTTTTAAATCTAAGAAATAAATTATCGTTGCCTCACCCATGGTGATCTTTCTGGATTTTATCCTACAGTAAATAGAAAGTGGGAAGATAATCATTTTCCTTGCTGTTTGTTGCCTCTGTAATATGTTGGTGCTTACAGAGAAATATTGTATTATAACTTTAAATGATTAAAACTTTCAAAAAGATCACTAAATATAGATAAGTTGCTTAAAATGAGAGACAAACTCAAATGAATCAAAAAAACTAAAATTTCACAAATATAAATGAAATAATTTTATTTCCCAGAAATATCAGTTTAGATTAGGTTGGATTTTTTTCTCTCTCTCTTTTTTGAGACAGAGTCGTACTCTGTCACCCAGGCTGAAGTGCAGTGGTGCAATCACAGCTCACTGCAGCCTCCCTCTCCTAGGCTCGAGGAATCCTCTTGCCTCAGCCTCCCAAGTAGCTAGAACTATGGGCATGCACACCACATCCAACTATTTTTTTTTTTCGGTAGCATTGGGATCTCACTAGGTCACCCAGGATGGTCTCAAACTCCTGGGCTCAAGCAATCCTTCCTCCTCAGCCTCCCAAAGTGCTGGGATTACAGGCCTGAGCCACTGTGCCTGGTCAGTTGCTTTTAAAATTCACATATGTTTATTTTAAATTCAAAGACTTCAATATATGTATATCTTACGGTCAAAGTTGGAAGTGAAACTTATTTTCAAGGTGCTATTGATGTCTAAGTCAACTTGTTTGCTAAGTCATGTGTTGATGAGCCTAGAAAGTCCATTTTTTACCACATGTGCCAGCATCTGGCTAACAATAACAATAATAACAACAACAACAAGAGCCCTTCTCTTGTAAGTGGACGTTAACAACAGGAAAGTTCCCACTTTAACAAAAAGACAAATGTTTTACATTGTATTATTTATCTGCATGCTTGTCTTTATCTCCTGGAACAATGTGTGCTCCCCCTGGTGGCCAGAATAATACTTTCAGCTTCCCAGTTCAAGCTAATCATATTCCAACTTGTTTGCCAAAGAAGCGTTTTACTTTTTATGTTTCACAAGTTTCAGGCTCCAATTCAACTTTTTAAGAAGTCAGTTTCTTTCCATTCATTTAAATATCTTGCTTACTTTTCATCCAAGAGATTGTTGTTAAATCTAGTAATTTTTGTTTTGTTGTTTGTTGCTTGGGGTAAAATAAAATCTTACAAAGCTAAAACCACATCCACAAATGACTGAAAGAGACCCTGAAAGTTAAAATTGTGAGGTCTATATAAGAAATGACACTGCAGATAATCCATCAAGTCAATATATTTCACCAGAGAAAAAGGAAATAAGACGTTACAGTATGGAAATGTAATTTAATAGCTGAATGAATACTTATCTGCCTATTTCATCCTTAAGAAGAAAAAGGAAAGTGAAGGCAACCCAGGTGGTTACATTATAATGCAGTCGAAATTCCATCACCCGTGAAAACTGCAATTGGGATTCCACTTTTGGATTTGGCCGGCCAGAAACAGATGTGTGTTCCAACAAGAATCACAGGCTGCATCTCCTGGACAAGAGCTCTTTAGAGTACAGCAGGAGTTTCAACTGGTTTTAACTCCAAAGAAAGGACTAGACTAAACTGAGTATAATTGTTCCAAGTGTTTAGAATTCCCAAGTTGGACTGGGGCTAAATGTGTGGTTCTCATTTTATGGCCTTGAAAAAGAAGACAGTGTGATTCTTCCTTGTTCTGTTAAAAAAGAAAAAAGAAAAATTTAAGGTTGAGATACAAAGGTTTGGCTAGAAATATCTCAACCATAGGACATTTCTTCAGTGAGTAAGGCTATGGTTCAGACAGCAAGGTCAAGGTGAAAACCAAATACCACTTTGTGCATAAATCTTGCTCATTAAAAGAAGGGACTCAAATGTTTCTTATTATATAGACTGTCTGGATGCATGATCCTTTCAACTGAGTTCCTCGGGCACATTCTAGCAAGATTCTAAATTCATATCATCCAGCATTACATGGGGCAGGTAGAGTTTCTTTTGAAAAGAAACCCAGGCCAATGTAATCCTAGCTAGGGAAGCTGATGCCAGGAAATCTACAGTGTGCTTTACCGAAACCACAGTTCAATTAAATAAATTCCATCCTTCTTACCAGGAGTCAAGAAACACACAAATGGCAGAAATACCGTTGTCAGTGAGTGGGGTTCACTCGTCAGGAGGTTAATTCCACATGGATTTTAGTAAATTGAATTTGGGATAGGTTAAAAAAAAAATACTTGTGCCAGTATTGAAAATCTAAACTTTATTTGTAGCCGGTATTTCTTCAGACAAGGTTTTGCCGCACCCCTCTGCCTCCATGTCTCTTTCCTGGCCCAGAGAGACTGACTCCCTCCAAAAGAGAGGAAGCCTTCCCCTCACATCTTCGAATGCCTTTCAGTGATCTGTAGAACAACTCAGGGCATATTCAAGAAGGGCAAAACTTCATGCCTCTTGTTCCTCAATCCTCCTTTCCTTTGGTTTGTTTTCCTTACTTCTTGCCAAAAAGCAGTTACCTTTGGCAGGGAAGTTACTACAATCCATTGCAAGTACTTCCTCCAATAATGAACACAACAAAATCCTGTCTTTATTCATTTAAAGCACGAAGCTGGCCCTCTTTACAAATACCCTGTTTTTAATAAATCCTTGGTAATAGACATCCATTTACGAGAATAAAGTGGGTACACTGGAGCTGAAGCTGGTGGTACACAGAGCAAATCTTCAGCTCATGTCTGTGTGTGTGCACAGCACAACTCATTAGGGTGTGCCTTTAAATAACACATGGACAGAAACAGATACTTTCCCGCATGCATGTTTTTCCTGGAAAGATTCACAAAACACTGTAACAGCATTCACCTTTAAGAACAAAGATAAGAGTAGGAAGAACTTCCACTTTTCATTTTAATGTTTCTGTACTGCTTGAGTTTTTTAGTGATACACATATATTATTTCTATTCTTTCAAAAAATCAGAGGTCTATTGAGTGATTATGTCTTTATTTTGGGGGGTTACATCTCTATATTTTTCTTCAAAAAAATCTTATTCTCAAATTTAAAAAATAAAAGCCAAAGACAAACTGTGTTTAGGGAGTGATTGTTTCTCAAATTATTCTACCTGACGTGGTGCTGCATAATTTTATTATGAGCTCTCAATGTCTCCACAGATCCATATGAACAAAGAGCAAAAGTGCAATATTCCGATGGGATCTTTTGGAAAATATTTAAATTCTGGGTCTCCCACCAACCTTACAAGTGATTCCTCTAACTTTTGTTAACAGATAAGCAAAATTGTCTCCAAAGAGGTGAAGCCACACCAGTGCCAGTCTTCCTACAGGGCAGGTCACCGTGTGCATTACTGCATTGAAGGCTAAATTTCACAGACAGGCTCAGAGAGGTCCCAGTCCCCTGACATATACAGTGGAGCAGAGATTTAAGCCAAGTTCACTGAGACATTCTGTGACCCCCAGCCACGAGAGAGGGGGTATGTCCCTTCACACCCCACATGAAATGCCAGAGCCTGCTGGCTCTGGGACGAAGGCTGCCTATCCTCTGTGAATGCTCGCCCCAGAGCCAGGGAACTCAAAGACCCACCTCCAGCCACAGGATACAGGGAACAAGAGGCAGATTTGAAAAATGCCTTCCTTTGCAGGTGGCACTTAAAACACCGGTGCTTTGCATCCATCCTGGAGTGCATTTCCCAGCTCTTTTCCCCCAGAACCCTGATCAGCTCAAACACAGAAGTGGGCCATAGCAGGGAAATGAGGATGGTGACAACTCAAAGGTAGAAGTTGTCATATAGATTCTTCTCATTCCTTCAGAAAAGAATGTGATGTCTTCCTCCTGGCCTGAGCAAACCAGTCCTTCTCCAGGCATCACAAATGGGTGCATGAAAATTCTGTCCAGGATGTCACAACTGAGCATGCAATGCTCATATAAGCACAAGGAGACACGCTGAGAGGATGGGGGACTTGGGAACATACTTCTTTGTCATACTTTTTTCCTATTATCAGTATGACAAGCTCTTCTAGAGGATATGCTGCCATGGAAGGCTGAGGGCCTCAGTCTCAAAGTCCAAGTCTCAATCCTGCCTCTCTGATGAGATAGTGTCACCCAGTTTCCGAGGACAAGCCCACTAATTCATACCTTGCTATGTGGTCTAGAGAAAATAAATCAAATCTCTAGCCATCACTAACACTGTCTACAAAATGAAACTTAAAAAAAAAAAGACAAGAGACTTTGAATCTGAGAAGAAGAGTCTCTCTAGGAAAAAAGTAAGTACTGTTTTATAATTCATACCTTCAACAGGTACTATCGCAAAGAGATGCAATAAAAACAGTTTACCACTGGTCCCCTAGGTGGGTCCAGTGCACACAACAAGCAGGCAGCTCCACTCACAAACAGCAACTTCAATTCAAAAATCTCTTCCAACAGTTTTAGAAAGTCAGAGAGAGGGAAAAAAAATTAGCCAGAAGCCCCTTTGTAGTGCAAACCCCCTAGATTACTTGGTAGCCTGGGATTGTCTTCTTTAGCTTTTAGAATACTAGAAATGTTCTGAAGAAATCCTCCATTCTGGCTTATTGCCTTTTGCCCATTTTACTCTTTTCAGAATTAACTGCATTTTAAGATGATTTCTGCATATTTCCTCTCTAGCTCAGTTTCTCAGGGCCCATCCCTTGCGAGGGAAGAAGAGGCTCCCCACCCCATTGGCAAATGCCTTCCCCATTTCCATTTTGCTTTCTCTTCCACTTCTTGACCACCCTGGAATGCAGGTGCTCCTGAGGAAACCAAGAAAATAATTTCCCTTGATAGTGTTCATCCTGGAAACTCAGGGGAGAGAGTAGCTGCGGAGTAAGAATTCAACACTCTGCACTCAGAAACAGACTTGCTCACCTCACCACACACCTTTCAGACGCTTTCCTTTATTCAGAGGCAGCCACCTTTAACAGGCGATGTCAGGCTCTCGCCAGGGATATTGCTGTGACTACAGAATTGCATTATGTCCAGGGTCCCACCACCAGCTCACCTAACTTGGAAGCAGTTCACAGCTCTTGCAGCTGGCTCTAGAAGACGCTTTCTGGGTTTTTTTGTTTTGTTTTTAACCCTCATCCCTTGCAAACCAGAAGTCCAAATGAACCTTTGTACCTGGAAGCCGTTTGTGGTTTAAATTAACAAATGTGCTGACCCCTGAACACCAAAAAGTGCTGATGTGTTTACCATTTGTTTGACTCCCTGGCAAGTGTTTTGAGTGGAGGGATGGGAGGAGACACCTGCAGGACATCCAGTTTTCTAAGCAGAGAAAAACGCCAACAACCCCTGTGCTCCCTACTCCTATCCCAGTCTTCTTTGGGGTGACATCATCTCAGAAGGGAAGAGAAGCCCGGCGGCCACTGGGCTCTGAGAAAACAGATTTCCAGACAATATACCGCGGGGATCGAAGGGAGAGGACAGTTCATGGAGGGTTTTTTAGGGTTTGTTATTACAAAAATATATATAAAATAAAGGCTGTGGCTTTTCTGTCCCCTTCCTAGGTTTGAGCTCCCCTCCATTAGGGCTGGGGGTCTCAGACGAGTGAAGGCTACAAAGTCCCAGGTGCCAAAGAAGGGACTATCACCGAGATGGCTCTAGGGCTCTCAGGGACTAACGGAGGGTTGGGGAAGCAGTAAAACAAAGGGAATTAGGGCCCTTGACAGTAGAGTAAGAGAGAGAGAGGGAAAGACGGGGATGGACCAGGAAAAAGGGCCGAGAGCATATAGAGGAGTAGATAGAGGAGAAGGGGAAGGAGAGGGACAGGAGCAGAGGTCGGAGCAAGGAGAAGAGAGTGGAAGTGCAGAGGGAGCCATGGTAGGTCGGGGAAAGCCGGGGGTGGAAGGGAGGGAGGAAAGAAAAGAGAAAGGGAAGGGAGGGAGAGTGAGAAAGAAAGAGAAGGGAAGGAAAGAGGGAGAGAGGCAAGACGGAGAAGGACAAGAGAGTGACAAAAAAGAAATTTGAGGCTGGCAGAGTGAGGGAGGCCACGTCAGAGCAAGGATTGTGAGGAGGGTGCAACAGTCTAAAGCCAAAGTTAAGAGAAGCCTAAAAACCCAGGCCAATAAAGGAAGTGTGGTGGGTCCGGACAGAGGCAGGGCTGGGCCTGGGGGCTGGCGGGGCGTGCACCCCGGGGGCGGGTGCTGGCTTCCTCCGCCTCCGCCGCGTGTCCTCCGGTCCTGCCCGCGCAGCTTGCCGGGGCCGCTGCGCAGACCTGTGCACCCGGGTCCGCCTGCCGTTCCCGCCAAGCTCGGGTCCGGGGAGAGCTGTCCCTAGGAGGTCGAGGCCGGGATGGGCAGTCCGTGTAAGCTACTGAGGGCGTCCGGGGCCTTGCTGCCGGGGCTGGGAGGCTTCCTGTCAGCCACTGCGGGAGGAAGCACAGGGGCGTCGGATCACTGCCTAACGCCGCTGCAGGGCGAGCGGCACGGGGACTCGACGCCGGCAGAGCGAAGTCGTGCGCGCTCAACCCTTGAAGACTCTGGAAGAGGGAAGCAGAGACTCGCCCTCTCCAGAGACCCCAAGCTTCCATGGGCGACCAGCCCTCCCTCTCCCGCTAGGGGAGCCACTTGCAAGGACAGCCTTGGCAAGCGGGACTCCTCGCAAGGCCATTTGCAAATACTGACCGCTGGCCGGGTGCAATTCCCGTTGCCCTCCAACCCCCTCACCACCTGCTCAGTAAAGGAAGTGAAGGGTGCAGAGGGCTGGGAGGGTTTCAGGTCTGATGGAGACTTCCGCAGAAGGGAGCGGGACTCTAACGCTGCGCGGACCCTCACCCTTTCAAAACCCCAGGCGCGCGCACAAGTGCGAAGGACAGCCAAAGCGTCGAGTCAGCTGACACCCGTGGCTCGGAACTCGCTGTGGGCAGGGGTAAACCGTGCGGGAAATGAGCCACCAGAGATTCCCCTGGAGTGGCCTGGATTCCTCCGACACGGGAGGCAGTTGGGCTTTAAGTGAGCGGCAGACTTCTTTGTGCCCACGAGGTCCAGGGATCCAGATGCGCTCACCACTGTGGGCACAGCACGTCCTGGGACCTGTGGGCCTCCGGATTAAGTGACAGTGGGATGGCCAGATCGGGCGGTATTCTGCGCCTTACTCTATTATTTGGGGGTTTGGGAAGGGGCCCAAGTTTTGCTACTGGAAGCCAGAAAGTGACGCCACTATTGCGCAAGCCTGTTTTTCCTTTCCCAACCTTGGGCCACTCTGCTTCTCCTACAACCAGGATCCACAGTTTGTTTATACCTACAGGGGCCTATTTTCAATTTTCTTTTTTCCCCAAGTCCTCGTTTAAAGGGGGAGCTTGGAGCGCCTCAATTTGCGTGAGGGGAACTCTGGATTTTTTTTCTCCTGCAACTTCCCTCGCCTCAGCCTCAGGCGCAACTTGCTGTGGCTGCGCACAGCTCGGCCAACTACCTCTGTGCAAGACACACAAACCCACACACAAACACACGGTTTCGCTGAGATTTTAAAGAGGTCTAAAGACCTTCCCCGACAGTGGCCCCTCTGCTTTTCCCTGGCTCTCAGCTCTTTTTTCTAAACATAGTTGTGGCCGCCCAGCCAACAAGTATTCAGACCTTTTCTTTCTACCCTGGACACACACTTCAAAGTGAGGACCTGTTTAGAAAACATCTGAGGAGGAGGAGGTTTCTCAGCCAAGGGACGGTTACCTTAGAGACAAGCAAGAAACTGAACTCATGAAAAATAAACACCCAGGACGACTGCATCCCACCCTACAGGGGCGAATCCTGCTGTGTTTTTAGCCCAGTCCAGACCATCCTTCCTCATAGGGCCCCTCCTGCCCTCCATTCCCTCCACAGGACAAATGGGTGGCTACTTCTGGGCCCTGGGAGGCCAGGGCCTGGGTCAGGCTCATTTAATTCAGGGGCTAAGAAGGGGGAGAGGCATTTTTTTAATATTCAACTGCAATTGCAGGGCACTCTGGGACCACCGTTGAGGGGAAGGGACCCGTGGGGTTGGGTCAAATGAGGCTGCGGTTGGCAGCATCCCGGTGTGACAATGCCAGCGCCCTAGTGCTCCCTGACAAAGTTTACTTCTAGGATCCTCCAAGAACCCATCCCCAGGCAGAGGTAACTAGAGCAAAGCTGCAAGTTATCTTTAACAAATATAAGCAATACATTTTCTTTGTAAGTATACAATATCTTATAGATTTGATTTCCAAATCTTGAGTCATTCCAGAGCCCCACAGGGAGGGACTTAAAACCCTGAGGTTTCTAGGGTCTCTGGATACACCCTGTAAATACCAGCTGTCTTGAGGGAACATCTGGTGGTGTCTGCCACCTAAGAGTGGGGAAGGGGAGATGGTCCTCCCCTGGCTGTGAAAAGACATTTGGATGTGGTTGGAGATTCCTAGAATGTCAGCCTCTCCAAGTGAAGATTAAGCGAAACTTTTCCTATTCTTCTCAATTCCCAAAAATTAAAGTTTCCTTTCAGGGGATGGGGAATGTAAATTATACTTTTTGCCTACACAATAGGAAACCCAGATTCACTACCTTTAAAAAAAAAAAGAAAAAATTAATTATAGTATTAATTAAATAACACAATCAATTAATATCTAATTTATTGCTAAATTTTCATTTTGACATTTGATTAAGTTTCACTTAGGGTAACTGTTAAGCTGTTCATTTGCACTAATTTGGAGGACATGTTGATATATATTGCACTGTATGTGTGTGTTGTGTGTATGTGTTAGGTGATCAAAGGTATTTGCTTTTACTGAGCATTTATTATATTAAATTGCTTTTCATTATACAGAAGAATTTTATCTTACTGAAAAGAAATTCAGTAAATGCTATTCTCACTATTCTTATGAATTGAACAATTGGTGATAGTAAATTGTCCTGTGGGACAGGTTTCTTTGAAAATATTAATTTCTTAAGAACTGGTCAGAAAATAAAAGGCAGTGATTTTTATTATTTTTCTGTCTTTTCAAAGACTAGTTGTGTTGAGGAAATAGATCTTTGAAGTCCGCTGTTCTACCAGTAAGGAGTAAAAGTCCATAACGCAAGTATGTATGTAATTCTCAGGCTATGAATATAGATAGATAATCAATGATTATTTCTACATTCCTGTTCGAACACAAACAGTTGCATGCCAGCTTGAGAAATCATTACTAATGGTGTCCCCGAGTTATCTGATTATCTTTTATTAGAACCTTTAAAGAACTTGGAGGACCACAAAATTAAATTAACTTAATAACTAGAGTAACAAATTATTGCTGCAGTTTTTGAAAACAGGTAGGATATTACATAATAGCAAGCCGATATAATGGTAAAAGGGACTTAAATGCCAGCACCGTTCAATGGCTCTGTATTTCTGAAAAGGAAAGTGTCTTCTAAAGAAAATCAATCACCAGTGAGGCTAAATGTTAAAATCAGCTTCCCCACGACTTCCACCTCAAATTAAATGAGAAGTAGTTTAGAATTAGGAACTGTGTGTGCTACCTTTGGGTTATTATCTGCACTTTATAATTTGTGTCTAATGTGGAGCTTAAAATGCCTCCAGGGCAAAGTGGCTCTATTGGAAAACAAATGCATTCCTCTGAGGACTGTGGGTCTTTTTTCTAAGTCTTCCTTCTCTGTAAGATGAACCCAGGGAAACATTTCAAATCTGTGGTTATACTTTTTAAATTCAAAAGAACCTGCTTATTTAAGCAACTTGTGTAATGTGGTACATTTCATTTTGATTTCGATTTCGGCGGATAACTTCAGTTGTTGAGAAAACAGGTTGATTGGAGGCTGAGGATGAGTGAAGTGCTCATCAGCGACCCCTTAGCTATCCTTAAATGTAAAGCTTAAAGGCGTTCTCACTCTCAACTTTTAACATTTCCTTCACTTGGATTTTTGTATAAATGAGCAAGTGATAGTATTCCATTTAAATTAAACCTAAAGTTTAAAAGAGCTCTAAATCCCAATTTTTATAAATTTTCCTTACTTGGATCTGTCTGTAACTAAGCAAGTGAACATTATCCTAATATCCCAGAATGTCTGTGTGTGCTCTAGGAAAGGTGGAAATAGAAAAGTATTTTTCTCCCTTCGTTTCACTGTTGTGGATGGCATCTTTATTTTCTTCCTGCCCCCATCCCCACCCCCGCTCCCCAGGGCATGCCCTCCTATCTTATCAAGACTACTTGGAAATAGCACTTTTTGCCTGGGCAGCACCAAGGAGGATGGCCCTCCTGTCCCCTGCCTGCCCACTGGCACCTGCCACTACATCCACCTGGCTTCCAGACCTGGACAGGTGGAGGCAAAGCAGCTAGTAAAAATCCTTTTATAATCTGAGAACACCATGCTGTCCCCCAGGTTTGTGCCTTGTCCCTTTCTCTGCTGGGGCTGGGAGGCCCTGGGGTGACCCTTTCCTTTCCCAGGTTGGTTGAAGTTGCAAATTTCTGGTGCTCAGAACCTAAGCACTGGCAAGTTCGAAATTAGCAAATCAAGCCATTCCTTTTAACGGCAAAGAACATGAGACTCAAGGGCTGGTGAGCTTTTCCCAAGTTAAAGGAAAAACTGGACCCCTCCCGGCAATGTGAGAAGATGCCCCTCACACTGCTGACTGTCAGTGAAATACCTAAAATCTCTTCCTTGACTTTTCAGGAAGGGGACTTATGGAAGAGGAAGAGGAGGAGGAAGCAGAAAAGGAGGCAAGACTACCAGGCACATTTTCCACAGAAAGAGAGAAACCCCCCTCCCCCACCACCCACCACCACCACCAACAACAGCAACCACAGGAAGCTCCTGAGCCTGGAGTAAAGGACAATGATTCACATGGCCTCTACTTTCCCACAGTGCGTATTTAAGAAAAAGAATCCAAAGGCTCTTTTTTTTTTCTTTAAGGAACCCGGGAAAAACAGATGGGCAGTGGGGCAGAGATGGGAAGGGTCCTGGGATGGAGGTCAGGTGCCACTAGCAAGTCCAACCCCACCTAAAGGGCTCAGGTGCTAGGACAGGTCTACAGAAAGGTGAGCCTGGAGGGTGCCTACTAGACGTGTCCCTGGATGGAGAAACAGAAACCCAGAAAGAAGCAGGAATTTGGTCGAAGGTGCCAGAACCGGATCCAAACCCACGTGTCCTGTGTGCCAGAAGGACCCCCTTTCTCCTCTCCCCTCATAAGTGGAGGGGACAATCTTGGGGCCAGTCTCTCTCAACCTCGAGTACCTTTATAGGGACACCTGTCAGAACGAATCTGCTCCAAGAAGCTACAGGCATAACGGTTAACCCAGAGGAAGGGTTTATGCCCAGGACCCACCTCTTCCCCACCCGCTCTCCCTTTTCCCAGGCTCACACCCCCTCCCCAGTACCTTTCCTAACCCTTCCAGTATCCACCCGACCCCCTCCCTGCGCTCCTCACCTTCTCGGCTGGGATGCTTGAAGGTCATTGCTGCCGCGAGTTCCCCGCCGTGCACAGCTACGCCGGCCCCGGGGGGCGCCAGCGGAGGGCCTTGCGCCGGCGGCCACGGCGGGCCCGGGGCGAGGTAGCCGCCTCCGGGGGCGCTGTACACGCCGTGCTGGTTGGAGGCCGGGTAGGCGCAGGCGGGGAGGAAGCCGCCCACGGCAGAGAGGGTAGAGGCCGACTGTGGGGATAGAGGGGGACCGTCAGCAGCAGAAAATCCTACCTTCTCTAGCCCACGCCATCACTGAGACGGGGGTTCTCATCCATTATCCCTCCCCAACGCCCTGTCCCCATCCATCAGCCCCATGAGAGGCCTGGCCTCTAAATTTCCTAGTAAGGACTCCTTGGCAAAGTGATTTCTAAGAATTCACTCAAACTGTTACAAATAATGATTTGAAGGGATTGTGGTGTTCATATCGGGATTTAGAGAAAGAAGGTCCTTGACTGTGGACCTGTGATCTGGAGTTCCTGCTTTTTTAGCTAAGGTATCTTGGCAAAGGCAAGTCAACCCCTCTAAAGTCAGACTCCCCCAGACTAGTACGCTTGAGGAAAGGACAAAAAGGATGCTTGCTGGCCGGCCTCCAGATACAACCATCTCTCTGCCTGGAAATTTTGTCTTTTCTTTCTCTCTCTTTTTCCCCACCTCCCCAAACCTTCTGCTTCCCTACTTAAGGTCACCACCCGCACGGGCCTCCTGGTTACCTGAGTGTATTTAATGTCTGCCTCTAAGGCAGGTTTCTCCAGCCCATTCACTGCGGGGGTGGCGGGGAAGGCTGTGCGGTTCACGCCGGCCCAGTCTTCCATCTTGGGAGAGTAAGTGGTGCCTTCGCTCCCAGCCAGGGCCCCTGCAGGGGACAGAGGACAGATTAGAAGGTGCCTCTGAATCTGCCCTGGGCACATGTGTGGCCAACCACCCAGCTTGTATCTGAAGGCAGGGCCAGGGTTCCCACAAAATATGTAGGTGGCCTGACACTCCACCAGTAGACAGAGGGCAACAGGGACTGGGATGTTCACCACTCCGGGTGGGGCAGAGGAAAGGCAGCCAGGCCTGCTGACCGGTCCTCCTAGCTTTCAGCCCGCTTCCCACGAACGCCAGGCTGCTGCTGAGTCAAAGCCTGGGCAAACTCAGCCAAAGCGGCTGCTCCATTGTCTAGACACGGCTCCCAGAAACTTCCAAGTTCAAATCTACAGCAACCTCAAGAAAATTGTATTGATTTCTCAACATCTGCACAAGCATCTGGAGGGCAGGGAGATGATTCTACCAGAACTGCCTCCAGAAACACCCAGGGTTTCCCAAAAGAAGTGTCAACATTGTGGTCCCCGTGGGTCAGATAGAAGCAGACAGCTGCTCCCCGGGCCCTTGTGTGTGCCAGGAACCAAGGGAAAGCTCCAGATCTGCATGCAGGCTTGGTGGGGTCACCTCCCGACCAGCTACCCACTGACATTCCATGGGAAGCTTTAGCCTCAGACTGGGTTAGAGCCACCGGGAGACACAAAGCAGAGCGCAGGGCCACAGAGGCACTGCTACTGCTGGAGCTGAGCACTCACAGTTTCTTTCCAGCCACCACTCTTTCCTCCTAGGCTACCTTGAATTTTGCTTCTTACCCTCCTCCTGAGTCTGCTCTCCTAAGAGTGTGCCATCCCCTGGCCAGCTGCTGGCAGCCAGAGACAGGGCAAAGAAATCCAGACCGATTCTGGCCAGATTCTTTCCCCGTCAGGCATCAAAGTTGCTCCAAACCTCCCTGCCTTCCGCATCTTCCTCATCACCCATTTGACCAACAGTTTTTTGAGCTTTAATTGCAGATAAACGACAAATCCTTGTGAAGGTGGCTGCAGCCCCAGCAGCCATCACCCCAAACTCCAGGACCTGCAAGGCCACAGGGCCTTAGAGACCTAGGTCACTCAACCGACCACAAGATCCCTTTTCCTTTAACTAAGAAGAGCCACTGGGCCTGGGAGTGGGGGGCCAGAACCCTTGGGAAATTGTGATGGATTCTGAGAGCTAAAGAAAGCGTCTCAAAATTGCCTGAGCGTTTTTTCCCCCCCTTAGATTTGGCAATAGGGGTTTGCATACTTTTTGCAAGAATGAAAAAGCGCAATTTCAGGCCTCCAAATTTGTGGTTGGCGATTGTTCTTCCATTTGGGAAATATTTTCCACATTTGTCATAAAAAGTTCAAGATGTCCGAGGTCTCTGACAAAAGGCCCAGGACCCCCAGCCTCCCTGGCCAGTGTGGAGCTCTCCCCTGAGCCAGAACCGGTACCGGGAGGAGAGCGAGTGTGAGTCCTCTCATGCAAGCCTGCCCGCCCCAGATTCTGCCCCTTAATAGAAGGCTATGGAGGCCGCCACGACTGACCTGTTTGCTCCATAAACGTCCGGATGCCCAGGATGTTGCTGACCGAGTGTGCCGAGGGCCATGAGCGCGGGATGCTGACGTGGCCCGCCGTGCCCGGGACCCCGGGGTGGCTGCCCATCTTGGCGCCGGTGGGCGACACGGGACTGGGGTAGGGGTACTGGTAGATGTGGTTGTAGGGCAGCGTAGGCTGCGACGGCGGCTGCTTACTTGCCTCGTACGGTCCGGGCTGCGCCAGGCTGCCGATCTTGTTGCGCAGGATGCGGCTGATGGAGCTCACCGAGGGCACATTGTACTTGTCACAGACGCCGTCGGCCAGCAGCCGGTCGCGGATCTCCCAGGCAAAGATGCCAGGGTCTCCCTGCTTGTAGTCCCGGATGTGCTTGACCACGTTGGGAGTGGTGACGCGGGGCTTGCTGCCCCCGATGGCCCCGGGCAGAATGGAGCCGGTCTCGTTGTAGCGCGCCAGGATCTTGCTCACGCAGCCGTGGGATACGCGGAGCTGCCTACTGATGTCACAGGGTCTGATGCCCAGCTGCGCCAGCTCCACAATGCGCAAGCGGATGGCGTTGGGCAGGGGGCGGCCGTTGACGAACACACCGCCCAGCTGGTTCACCTCGCCATACGTCTGCTCTGCGGATGCGCCAGACAACAGTGAGCAAGCAGGGAAGAAAACACCGGGCGGGTTAGCCCAGGGTCCCCACGCGGAGCGAGGGACTGCACCCAGGCGCACTTCCAAAGGGTGACCTGTGGGTCCCCAGACAGCTCGGATTCCAAGGGCAAACCGCCTGGGTCCGGCTTGGAGTGGGCAAGGGCACAGAGGAGCCGCGGAGTGGAGCACTGCGCATTGTAGCCCTCCGTGCCCTTTCGCGACTTTTAGCGCGTCTACTTGGAACACGCCCTTCCCAGACTTGCTGAACTGTCCCCTCCTGGGGACCAGAGAAGAATGTAGATCCTCCAGGACCCAGGACTGGGTCGCCCAGGGAAAGCGGACTAGAGGGAACGGAGGCACACGGACCCGACCCACCTAATCAGCCCGCCCGCCCCCTGCCTGTCGCCCGCCCCTTACCCATAGCGCGCGGGCCGGTCAGCTGCCTGGCGCCGGGGTGGCCGGGGTGGCCGGGGCTGGGCCCGGCGCAGTCCAGGAGAGCTTGGGCGCCGCCGCCGCCGCGGGAGAGGCATAGAGGGAGGGCGCGCGAGAGCCGAGAGCCGCGGCGGCCCAGCCGCGGGCTGGAGACGCGCTGTGAGCGGCCGCCGAGCGCGCTGTCGCCCGCTCCAGGGCCTGCCGCCGCTGCTGCTGCCCCCTCCCAGGACACTCTCCACGCCCGCGACCCCAGGCCCAGGGTGAACTTCATCCGATTGGAAGAAATTCGTCTGACCGGGAGGCTGCAGCGTGCGGGAATCAATTTGACGTGTCCTCCACGTCAATCTCGGCAGTCACGCCGAAGACGCGCGAGTTGGCAGCTCATTGGTTCCCGTCACTGCTCCCCAGCGTCCCCCTCCCAGCCCTGAAACTCTACCCCCTCCTTCTATCCTCCCGCCTCGGCCCTCCTCCACCCCCTCCAACCCACCCCTCTTACACACACACACACACACACACACCCCATTTGGGCCTGGGACCTTGCACTACTCTGAGCCCCTTGCAGCCCCCTCCCTCCTCTGGCTTTGGGAATGATGGGGAAGTCATCTCAAATTGATTAGTGTGCTAGTACTAGTACTCGTTTTCGTTTTGGTTTTATTTTTATTTCCACCACCATTAGTAATAAGATAGAGAATAAAAGTTTATCGTGGCAAGGTGTTTAGGGTGTGGCTGTCTCTACCTCCCCACTCCCTGGGCAGCGGCCGGGGAAGAGTGGGATCAATACCCCAGCTGGCTGGGAGTGTCAAGGTGAGCGTCCAGCGCGGTGCAGGGCGCCTGGCAGGAAGACACAAGGCAGAACTGATTCCTGCGAGTCCTGTTCTTGGCCAGGTCCTCAATCCTTCTCTCAGGAAACCTTCACAACGTTTAATAGCCAACCACTCTCGGAATAGTGGGGGTGATTTCGGTGATGCGAGAGGGGCACGGTCCAAATCCTGTCTCCTACAGCCAGGCCCAGCCACCAGAACTCATTCCTCTCCAAGAGGCGACAGAAGGGGCAGGAGGCAAAAGGATTCCGGCCTGCTGCTACTAGGCTCATAGATCCGGCGCCCTCCGGTCCCCAAGCGCGACCGGGGGGAGGCCAAATGCATAGCTCCAGCTCTAGGCCTGAAGGACAAGTTCCTTTCTCCTTGGCGGTGGAATCCAGCACCACTCTATCCCGGGTGGGCTGGTCTCGTCTTTCTCCCAGCACCTGCAGCTTCAGGAAGTCTCGGTTAAACCACAAAATGGTCATTTCCCCTTCATTTAAATGAGGTTTTGCGCAGTCCTGAATTATTTGCCTCTGAAATTGAGTATCAACAATTTCTCTGTTTCTACCCTGCACCAGAGCAGTTCTGAACTCCCCAACCTGCGCAGTTAACCCTGTCCAGTAGCCATGCCGTGAGGCCCAGGAGGAGGAAACTCCTGGTTTTGAACCTGAACTGATTTGAGGGGATCAGGACCTGAGAGTTCTGAGGTTGAGCCCAGTAAGCACCAAAGGCATTGGGCCGAATGTGCTAGATCAGGAAGAGGGCATAGGGGAGAGAGTACGAACAGCAGAGATTTCAGAGACTCCCAGCTCTCCCCTGGAGGCGAGAACCCTCTTCCCCTCCCTCCCGCCCACCCCAAGGGTCTAGCTCTCCTTAGCCACCCAGAGTTGAATATGGCGCCAGCGCGGTGACAGTGGCTGAGGAGCACATGGACCTTATCAGCCCAGCCTGGGGAGCCATGGCTGCGGAGGCCCCGACCCCTTTCCCTCCACTGCGGGGCCAGAGAGCATCCCCGGCTCCTAATCCACCCGTCTAAATGTATCTGTTAAGAGAGACTGACCCAGGCTCTCTGGAGAGAGCACGCGGTGGGGCCACAGGCAAGAATTACCTCCGGAAAAAGAAAAATCAGGTTTAAAAGAAGTGAACTCTTCCTCTCCAGCGGCATGAACACAGTACAGTCTCTGTCTCTGGGAGGTCCTGGAGACCTGGAGGAGGTTTGAGGGTCAGCGCACTGGCAGGAGGATGCGAGAGTGGGAGCAGAGGAACCTATGTAGAAGATCAGGCCTGTCCATGACAGCGTAGGTTTGGAGTAAGGAACGGGGAAAGGGAATGGTTTGGATTAAAGTGGGCACGCCAAAGCCAGGAGTTATGGGAAGGCAGCGAAGAGAGGACTAAGCTTGCACAGTATGCCCAGGACTCCGGGGGTGCGGGGAGTGGGGACGCACCCTGCCCAGTGCTCTCCATTGCGAAATCTGCTAGCCTCTGATCTAGACCTTCGTCGGGCGCGAGATACCAAGAAAGGTTGATTTCCAGACCTTGGAGTCTCTGGGATAAAGGAACGCCACATCCCTGCCTCAATCCCTTGCATACTCGTGATCCGGAAAAGCAGCTAAAGCCGCTTCTTCCCCCCAGTAGGTGAGGAGGCAATAGGCACACTCAAAGACGAGGAAATAAAGCCGGTTATGACACCGTGAGAGCTGGTTAGCCCAACTACCCTTTCAGGGGAACGTCCACCCCACCTCTGCTGCCGAGCTTGGAAAACTGACGAGGAGTCGCAGTCCGGGACAAAACTCCGCCCCCGTCCCCGTGAAGGCCGCCCTTGGCTGCGGGCGACTGTAGAGGAGTGAGTCTGGGGATTGCGCACGATGAGAGGGGGTGGTTCTCTGGGGTAGCGGAGTCCGCGGGCCCTCGTCTCAATCCCGTCCCCTTTCCCGCAGCCAGCTGTGCGCGATCGGGACCACACAGTCCTCGCTGCAGCCTTCTGCACGATCGGGCATAGGGAAAACCTTACAGTTTGTCGCCCCCTGTCGTCCCCCGGCTGGGCATCGCGGGTTCCCGAGCGGCAGGCTAGGCTTGGGGAGAGGTGACCCTAAGATGAGATTGCGGAAGGAAAAGAAACGTCTCTCCCACCTCCCAAGGAGGCAGCTTAGCCCTCTCCATGGCCCGGGGACAGCTACTAGTCAGCGCTGAGCGCACAGAGGTAAAGAGCTCGCGGATTCTGCGTTTTCACTTGGCTGGGTTTAGCACCGTATTTCAACTTGCTCTGGGCGCGAAGTGCAACAAAGTGCCGCTTCCAGGGTCGCGGGAGCCTGTTAGCTGAGGGCGCACTCAGAAACCTGGGGCAAAACTCTTCCGCCTGGGGCTGGACTCCTACCAGGGCAGAGGATGGATGTGAGGGTACCCCAGCGGCCTCGGGCCCTCGCCCAGTTTTTCCCAAGGCAGGGAAAGAAAGAGAGGCAAACTCTGTGCCAAAATCGGGAGTCAAAAAGGAGGCGTGAAGGGGTGCCTGTCCTTCTGGGGACTGGGGTTGGCGGCAAGGGGGGTTACTGGTGAGTACTCCCTTGCTGCACACCACCTGAGCCGTGAACTCAGCACCTGAAACTTCAGACTGCTAACCACCCAGGGGTTCGGTGACAGGGCTGCTCTTGGAGCTACAGTCGCCCCCACTTCAGGTCTCCTATGTCGCTTTGATTTTTGGTGGGTTTCGGGGAGTTGAAACAAGCAACAGGCCAGGATGTTCCCGGGGTCCTTGCATTTCAAGGTCTCCAGGAGAAACCTTAAAAAGCTGATTTAAGTCCAACTTGAGCATACAGGTGCGCATTTCGGTTCTTGTGGGAAGTAACAGAGAACAGAAAACACAGGTGGCACTCCCCGAGGGCCCCGGCCAGGCTTGGGCCTAACAAGGAACGCTGGTACCCACCAGCAGCAGCCCGCAGGGGCCGCAGGGCCGGGATCCGGGATCTTCCTCAGGATGCCCTAGCCTCAGGCCTTAATAGGCCTGCTTTCCCTCCTGCATGAGTCCTGGCTCTGCTTAGGACCTGCGCTTTTACTGTGTTTTTAAGAGCACTGAGCCGTGAGTTCTGTGGTTCAAAATCAAAGTCAAATTGAGTCTCTTAATTTTCTTCTTAAATTTACTTTTGAAGAGAAAAAAAAAAACAGCTCGGGCTACAAACGCACTTTATGCATCATGTACCAACTCCACACGTACACATGCCCACAGTTTTGCAGAAAAGATCCGCCACACCATACTTAAAAATAAGAAGAAGAAAATTGACGAAAAGAGAAATGAGGAGCTGCTAGCTTCAAAGAAACTATGGGAAGAAAAGCTGAGCCAGATCGGGGAGCTGCAAACCCTCGGGAAACGCGAACAACTAACAAACCAAAAGTTGGCTTGTGCGACAAAGCAACGAAACTCCGGGGAAGTGACTGCGGCGATGGAAGAAGGGGGACGAGGAAGGGAGAGGAAGACTGGATTCTGAATTGGCGCCTGTGAGCGCTGCCTCGGAGCGCGCGAGGTCAGCGCGTCCTCCCTACGTTGTGGATCCTCAAGGACGAGGTGGGGAGTGCGTTTTGCACAGAACCTGCCTCTCCTGACTGGGACACACAGACTCTCCAGACCCCAAATGGAAGGTGTTGAGGACCCTACCAGCTGACAATGAAACAGAGCCCCTAAGAGCGAAAAATAACGTCCTTGGCTTCGCAGACCCATTCCCGCAGCTTATTTTCATTTGGCCTGCAGCTGACCAAGGCGGTCCTAAAGTTGGTTCTTTGCCTAGGTGTGCAAGATGTTCACTACCCTTGAAACGTTTATTATCGAAAATGAGTCGGGTCGGCAGTGGTGGATGGAGCACCGTTTCCGCTGACACTGGCCACTACGAACGAGTAATGTCCTTGGAAATGTATGGCGAGAGAAGCCAGGAAATATTTTTCGTTTTCCTAAAATGAAATGAATAAACAAGAATAGGTGGACATTTTCAACGTGATTAACAAAACGCTGAAAGACGAGTGCTCCTCAATTCTGTTTAGAGATGTAAGAAAAAAGCAAATTAGAAAATTGATTTGCTGTGAAACCTGCACTAGAAATAAATAGGTGGAAATTGAGTATTGGCAACAAAGATCTAAGATACTTTCTACCCTGCAATGCAGGGATCTGACTACTACCTTAATAACATTTATTTTGGAGTAGAAACATTTTAAACGTGGAATTTGGCTGATAAAAATAAACTACAGAGAGTTGGTGCCCTTCGTAGGAAGAAACGGTTTCTAGAGCCTTCAGGAGGATCTGGCATTCTTGCCATTCTTGTGTGTATATCCTCACTAGCCCCAAATCGAGTTCTACAGATCGCTATTATGTCTCTCTCTTTCCCTGGTAATGAGCATGTCAAATAAGCCTCAATTTCCTCTTATATAAAATGACTTCTACCATGCAATTAGATCTTATTTAATTTCATTTCATCAACATGAATGCCTGCAGAAATTTCCAGACACGGGTCAAAATTCCACCTTTGCCGTGAGCGCTCAAAAATGTTTAAGTGACAGTAT